AAGAGAGAGAGAGAGAGAGAGAGAGAGGAAATGAATAGGAAAAAAGGAGAGAAAGGGGGAGGGGGTTTTCGAGGAGGCGAAAAATGTCACCTTTTGTGGCCGAAACCACCGCCGCTGCTCTCGTTCCTCTTGTGGCCACTCTCGGATCGTTTGTGGCCAAAGGCACTGGATATGCTCTCGGCACGTTTGTGACCGCTCTCGGACCGTTTGTGGCCGATAAAACCGCCGCCTGACTCGGTTCGTTTGTGGGTGAACATGCTCGAACTCGAGCCGTTCCTCTTGTGCCCGCTTGTGGACGCCATTTCTTCCCTCCCCGCCACACTTCCCCGCGTCCCTCGGCTTCCTTCCTTCCTACCAAAATCCTTGAATTACGGCCCCACCCTCCACATTTTTGGCCGAGTGCTTCCGTGCTTGCCTGCAACAACAAAAAAACCAGTCAGATTCTGCCCCATTTAAATTATCTTCGTTTCTTTCACCCCTTCTTCCACCCCTCTTTCCATCCTCGACTTGATTAAAGAGCAAGCAGGCTTCGATTCGATTCGATTTCAAGATTTCTTTCAAGGAAAGGGGCGTGCAACGTTTCGACACCGTTTCGCATCCGATCGAATTGACACATCTCTGTATTCAACGGTTCAACGAACCTGCTTCTGGTAAGGTCAGGGCCGTTCAACAGCGCGAGGAGCGAGCTAAGCGAGCAACGTTGTCATCTTCGTTACAAAGACAGAAGCGGGATAACTGTATTTGCTGTCGTGCAAGTTCTCACCGATAATTCGTCTCGAATTTACGACGTATAATTGTAGGGATTGAGATGGTGGAAGAGGCGTGATATTATATCGTCACTGATCATTGCTATCTTCTCGCGTGTCGAACAAAATTTATAATATTTGCATATATAAAACGATATTGATTTTAGAATCACGATTTAGACGGTTTCTTTTAACCGTTCTCGTGTTCCGATTACTTTATCGAAGAAACCTTTCATTAATATCGTAAACGACTGAGAATCAGTAGAAGAAAAACAATCGATTTTGATGAATCTTGCTTTTCTAAAGAAAAAAAAAAAGAAGGAAAATCAAATATATTTCTTCGCAAGAAAAAGACTTGAGTTACTCGAAGAAAGCTCTTCTCAACCTCGCCATTCATAAACCGACTTCAGTCTCGCAAATAGCCGAGCAAGTCGAGTAATTCGATTCGCCACGTGCGTCCAACGCCGTCATCGTTGCACACGAAATCGTTTCTGTCGCAATAGACGGACGAGGACCAACCTCTGATGAAAGTTTCGAATTAAACTTGCGCAATTAGCGCTGTTACGTAAACACACGGCTCGTTTCGTCGTGGCGGGAATTGATTAATTCGACGCCGATTCTCTTTCTTCCTCCCTCGAAAGTTTCTTTCTCCGCATTTCCGCACAATGACAACGAAACGTCGTCGTTGGCTCGACAGACGCATCGCTTCCATCACCATTCGAGGAATCTATATGTATATTCGAATACATGGATTCGTGTGACGAAATTTCGTTCGCCATTTTTGGCACGATTTGTCAAAATTGTATTCGATTGAAACGAAAATTGGAAATGGAAAAAATCGATCGTTTAGCTCAAAGTGTTTAAGTAACAGTGGAACAATAAGCAAATTTAATTTTATTCATTCACGATCAAAGAATCACGGATTTTGAAAAAAGTCAATTTCAAAGTGATCGAACTTTGACTTTGAGTCGGTTTAAGATGCTGATTTCGAAACGTATGCAAATTTCGAACGTTCGTGAATTTTGATTGTTAAAAAAGTAGCAAGTAACGTAGAGATTTTAAGAGACCGATAAAAAAAATTGTGAGGTTGAAATTTTAAGCTTTCAAGTATTATTTTGTGAAATTACACTATATTTCTGTGCTACTTCATCCGGCCATCAATAATTCTAAATCGATCTAACCAACCATCGTTGTCATTCGTTTCCAAGGCAACACATTCAAACTAAAAAATCAACCATCACAGAGATAAGAATTTCTCTCGAAAAAACGTGGAAAAAATTATATCACGATAAAATCCCTCGCGCTTCTCTAAATTAAAATCGATCGATCGTTTGCCAACAAGTTAAAAAAACAAATTCCTCGAGACAGGAGGCGACCGATTCCCTTTCGAAAGTCGATCCACCGCTATTGCAGCACAACGCGAACACACGTGGGAACATTTTTTCCCAGATTATCGACCGGCCACACGGCCTTGATTTCGTTTTCGATGAAAAATTAAAGCGTTGTATACCCGTTTGATAACGAATTCAAAGTCAGGGATACGTCGTAACGATGCCACGTGCGGCTTGGAAAAGCCGCATCGTTAATAATTTCATCGAGCTCCCAATTTCTTGAACCTTCTTCTTTCACTTTCGAGGAGTTTGACACATTCGACGCAACGTCCATTTCGTATTCCGTGGCGATCTTTTCTGAGAACGAGAGTTTTCCACGTGTCTGGCTTTACTTTCGCGATTCGTCGCAATTCAAGACTGTCTTTTGTATCTCGTTTCGAAAATTTCTTACGATTTTTGGTACATGGACGAGTGGATATGTAATTATTTCGAATAATTTCGAGAGACACAAATTCTATTTTATTTCACACCCTCGGATTCAAAAATACAAATATTTCTCTTTGTTTCGCGTTTTTCCACGGACAGCTTTGCACTCTCGTTTTATATTTCGATTGCTTTGCTTTTGGCTCCGTCGAGATCCTCATTTGTAAATATTATCGTTGGCAAAATCTACTTCTGCGTTCTATCGAAATTATCTGAATCAATTGGAAACTGTAACCATCGATGAAATCACATTTTCCTAGATATTAATTTATTAATCCTGTTAACAATTGTTAACAAGATGATTGTTAATAGCATGCGAGAAACGAGCTCAGGATTAAACTTCTCCTCCGATCAAATCTTCGTTATTGAACCATCGTTAGTCGCGAATCCAATTATACATCGTTGATCGCATTATATCTTGAGGTTGTACACCTCCTTCTCTTCTATCCTCAAATAGAATTACGGAGTTATTTACGCATTTATATTTATGCACCAACAAATTCCTCATCATTTCTTAACAATCCCTTTATTCTCCACGAATAATTGCTCGACAAACCGTTTAAAACATTATCGAATAAGATTTTGATCGTCAAATTTTGAAGATTGTCCGACAATCTAACTATCTTCTTACTTGATCATCGACTATATTAGATATTACGTCACGAATTTTCAATTTTCATCTCGTCCTTGATAACATACATCAAGATCGAATGTCCTTTAATTCGCCAAAAAAAATCTAAAACGATAATAAAAGAAAAAGAAAGAGGGAAGGATCGATACGATTCGAGGATGAAAAAAAATGGTGCGAGAGAACCCGAGCGAAAACTCGGGATAAAAAGCGTTCCCCATTCCGCTCGACCGTTTCTCCATCCTTTCATCGAATTGTTAAAAACACACACCGAGTGCAAATACATCACCGATCGCGGTGTGTTTGCATCTGTGTCAAAATATCGGAGCGAGTAAAGCTGTTACCACGTTTCTCTCATTTTAGAGAAACAACTTTCAAGCCTGGACCACCGTTATAAATTCGCGATCCCTCCTTTTATTATACCGTTCGACACCTCTCGACACCACGCATAATTCCGTATAATTCCGCTTCTCTCTATTTTTCAAACGGAGAATGCAATTTTTGTTGATAATCAATAAAAATCTCGTCACCGACTTCATACAATTGCTTCGTCAGATGAAATTATTGATTTACCTAATATTCTCATAATACGTTCTGAATTTTACATAATTGGTTATGTAAAATACGTGCAATAATTCTCACGCGTGAAACAAACAATTGAATTGTGAATAATTATTACGAAGAGAGGTGGCACGTTTCTTCGATTCTTGACACACGTTTGAACGAAGTGGAAAAAAGTAGCACGTGAGTAAATATTTATGAATGGATACTGTTATTCCGTTTCATTTATGATTTCCTCGTACACTTTTCTTCTTCTTCTTTTTCTCCGTTCCTATTCCAATGCATACTGATACGCACAATTTATTGTAACACGTTACGTCTCTAACGTAACGGCGCTCAATGTATACATTTCCATTTCATTTTCCGTCCCGATGCATCATTTTCTCTTATATTTATCCAACATTACTTGTCACTCGTGAAATCATCGAACAATTATCCAACGGCGACACGATTAACGATACAATTATCATTCCTATTCGTTCACAAATTTTTCTTTCCAAGGAAAATGAAAAAAAAAAGGAACTATTTTCAAAATCGATTACTTTTCTCTCTCTCTCAAAGTTAATTCGAATAATTTGAATAATACGGAAAATTTCACGACCTAAAAAAATGGATATGAATTTGTAATTACTTCGAGAGATAAGATTGCGAATACGTAAGTGTTGATTTGTCTCCTTGTTTCGTCGTTTGAAAAAAAAAAAAACAAAAAAAAAGAGCTATTGTTTACCTTGTTAAGAGAGGAAAAATAAAAATTTGGAAAAATCGGAGAAATTCGACACGAATGTCGCGATATATTCGTACAAATCGTTTCGAACTGGTTCGAACTGTTAACCTCGCTGAACTTTGATTGTTGAACTCGTATATTTTTCCTTTTTTTTTAAATTGACAGCCGTTTCTGAATTGTTTTCACGTTTGCTCGCTTTTTTTTTTTTGTCAATATCACTGGTTGTCGTTCTTTTTCCTCCTGTAAATATAAAAAGAACGCTTTTTGGTCCGGTGGAAAAAGTTATACGATACTATTCTTTTAAAATGATCGAGTAAAAGGATAATTCAATGAAATAGAAGAACACGCGTTTCAATTTTATCGAAGATGTCATTCAGTATTTACGTTGGAACAATTTAATTCTTGGAAAGTTTTCGATGCCAAAATGAACAATGATCAGTTGCCAAAAGTCCACAAATACAACCATCTATTTTGAGTAAAAATAGAGTTATAGAATGATATTGAAGTTTGATATTGAATGGATTGTCAAAGATCATTTCGAATTATTATCACCTCGTTTTTTAAATAACATCTAAAACTTTTCCCTAAGCAATAATTCACAAATTACCCTCCCCCCAAAAAACAAAAAAAGTCAGAAAGAAAAAGAGAACGAAGAATTAATTTCGAATTAGTAACAAAATAAACGATCTAAAAAAAAAAAAAAAAAATAATCGCGATCAATCTTTGCTGCGAGAAATCAGAATAATCAGAACATCAGGCTCGCAACAACTTCTATTCAATATTGTTCGTCCAACAGCACGTTAATTGCAAATTACTCTCACGCCATGAGTCGTGACCTAATAATCTTCTCTTGATCTTAGACCCTTGGAGGGTTCTTGCTGGCGCACCGGAAGAAGAGCAATGAACTGTCGTGTACCGTTAAAGAATTAACTAACCAACCAC